ATAGGGACTTATAAATACTGTTGTGGCGGATAGTGAACGTAAAGGGTTATGGTGGAATCTAAAGTAAACAGAGTGCATGTCATATCGTTTTTTAAAAGTTGTTAACTGTAGTTGATGTCTTATAAAAAAGGTGAAAGTATCTGACAAGTTCAACAGTAAAAAATATCTTGGATACATCATTACGCTCGATGCCACATGTTCCACGGAAACAAAACGAAGAAAAGCAGTAGCTAAAGATAGCTGAAATAAAATGACTGCAATGCTGGGAAATTGCAACACCTAAATGACTTCCAAAAAATGGGTTCTAAAAGGTTTATTGAGGTCAACCCTTTTATCCGGCTGTGAATACTGGACAATTGCCAACTATAATGAAAATAAAATTGAAGTTCCAAAAACGCTAGGGGATATTTTAGAATTTCATGGACAGAAAAGAAATCAAACAAGGAAGTGGCTCACAAAGCCCATGTGGGACGCTCACTAATAAAAACAATTAGAAAGCGACGAAGGAGTATCTGTTAAATTCGTCTCGACCTAAAAGCTTTGAACATCATGCTCTCTCTGGAAACATAGAAGGCAAATGAGACGAGGGTAGACTCAGGGATACTTATTTGGAAAGCCCGAACTGATGGGTGACTGGGAAAGACCAGGATTATAATAGGAGTTTTGAAAGCATCCGCGCGGAAAAATGAAAGGAGAGCCGTGGTCGCCTATGTCTGCTTCAGGTCTGTCTATTTATGACGATAATGATTTTTTTGCTTTTGGTAAAGTGGTGGGTAAATATATTGTTGGAGTTCTTGTATCTATATTATTTTCTTTTTGTTCTTTATCTTGAGTAGTATCCATTTCTTACCGTCCTAACGCCTTCGCCCCCACGAGTCTAATATTGGATGCACTTTATATATCATTTAGAGTTCGGGAATACAGTACATCAGAATGAGATGAGAACATACGTAGTGAACGAGTTAAATATCAAACCCTTGTCCCCCATCTCCCTCCAACCACTCAACCACCGTAATAGACTGGCGGCGTCGGCGGCCTTGTGGTTATTCTACTATATGGGTAATCGTGAGATTGCGGGTTCGGGGTTTGAGCCTCAGCTCGGTCTGACGTTGTGTCCTTGGGAAAGGCACTGTATGATACATGAATATACGTTTCTGCTCGGTCATTTTGGAAATGGACTTTAAACTCGGAGGCCCTGCCTGTTAGATAATCTAATACTGTTGATATGGGTGTTAAAACCTATACCATATTCAACACAGACTGGCAGGACAGATCCACCGACAGTTCACCACACACCCCGTCTCGTCTCTGGAGGACCTCAGTCTAGGAGACCAGCGTCCCACCGCACTCGTGCGTTCTTACGACAGTATGTACCGCGAGGGTCGGGTGGATACCTTGGACGCCCTGGACTCCCTTACGGAACTGCAAGGGCTGGACATTTTGAAGATGAAGATTTTGTTTTCTGTTGTCGTGGTGAGTTTGTTTGTGTAATCATACTTTCTGGGGTACTTGACTCGACGTAGCAGCTTTGAACATCCTGCTCTCACTGGAAAAATAGAAGGCAAACTAGAAACTTACTTCGAAAACGAGGTCTCAAAGATGAAGATAATATTTTCTGTTGTCGTGATGAGTTTGTTTAATCATGGTTAACTGTTAAATCATTTGGGGTTGGGGTTTTTGGGGGGGAATAATTGGGAACCTGGGCCAGACTAAAAGCTGAAAAGTCATATACGCTTTTTGTTCGAGCATGATAGAGGTT